ACCAGCATCCCGAGATCCCTTTCACAAGTGCTGCTCCCCAGCCACTTGTCCCCTAACCTGTACTTATGACAGCTATTCCTATGCCCCAAGTGCAAGACCTTGCACTTATCCACATTGAACGCCATCCTGTTGTCTCCTGCCCACTTCCATAGTCTGTCCAGATCCTTTTGGATCTGGAGTACCTGCTCCTCGGTTGTGGCCACTGCTCCAGTTTTAGTATCATCTGCAAATCTGAACAGCAGACTGTTCACCCCTTCTTCCATGTCATTGATTAAAAGACATAGTCCTGGGGGACCCCACTTGTCACTGGCTGCCATCCCGATGATTCCACACTAATGGTTACTCTCTGCTTTCGGTCACTCAACCATGCCCTAATCCATCAGACAGTGCTTTGGTGTATCCCAAAATTCCTCAGTTTCTCCACCAGGATATCATGGGGCACTTTGTAAAAGGCCTTGCTGAAATCCAGGTATACCACATCCACTGCATCCCCTCCATCTAGCCATCTTGAAACCTTGTCATAGAATTCCACAAGGTTTGTCTGGCAGGACCTGTTTTTGCAGAAGCTGTGTTGTGTGGCTGTCAGCCTTTCTTCCCTATCTAGCATCACTTGATCTCTCTCTATTATGAGCCTTTCCATTGTTTTTCCTACAATGGATGTAAGGATAACCGGTCTATAATTCCCCATGTCCTTTCTACTACCCTTTTTGAAAATTGGGAGCACTGATGCCACCCTCCAGTCCTCTGGAACTTCACCCGTTCTCCACGAGGTCTCAAAAATGGAGGCCAGCGGGCGTGAGAGAACCCCTGCTAACTCTCTAAGTACTCTCAGGTGTAACCCGTCAGGGCCTGGCGCCTTTGTAATGTCCAATGCCCTGAGGAGCCCCTCGACTTCAAGGGGGGTGACTCTAATCTGTGCCCCTAAGTCCCCAGCCTCATCTAATCTCCTATGTGGATATCCCCCATCCTGCTTTGGGGAGAACACAGAGGCAAAATAGTCATTTAGCATCTGTGCCTGTTCCCTCATATCAGTCACTGGATCTCCTTCCTCCTTATTTAGTGGTCCCACTACTTGTCTCCCCTTCCTCTTCCTGTTTACATGCTGAAAGAAGCCCTTTTTGTTACTCTTGATATTCTTGGTTTCAGCTTGTAATCAGCCTTATCCTTGCAAAGAATCCTTCTGCAACGGGCCTCCTCCTCCCGGTATACCCTTTTGTCTATTTGCCCCAGTACCCATTTCCTACGGAGGTTCCTCTTTCGTCTAATCCCTCTAACCACCGACAATGTCCAGCCCCCAGTCAATCAGACCCAACAATGTCCAGCCCCCAGGAATTGGGTCTGAATGACTGTCTGCTTGCTACTCTCTGCGAGCAATTGTGAGATCCCTTTTAAGTTTAAAGAGTATAAATGGAGGTGAGTGAAGATCCTTTGGCAACCCATAAGGTAACCCAGCCTCCCTCCCCCAAAAAAGTGTATTTGAAATTCACCACTTTCCCTGAAAACAGCCCAAACTGCTCCCATGCTTTTGTGGAGGTGGAAATCATACAAAATGGTTGTGAGGACTGGGGAGATTTCTAGCTTCAACTCAGTGCATTGGAACAGTAGAATTTAAAATCAGAAACACAGCTCAGAACAAGGTTGGAATGATTAATTGATCCAATTTTTATAGTGCCTTTATATTCTGGGTTAGCTTTATTAGAAGCAGGGGAACCCCACATACTTCTAAGCCATTGCTCAGAATTCAGCATAGCCATGGGGCAATGCTTACTACCCCCTGGCCCCCTGAAAGCATCATGGAAATGATATCTGAACCCAAGCAGCATGTGGCACCGGCTGCTACCACTTTTATCTGTGTACAATTTGCAAGCCTTAACATCTTCACAAGACAAAGCAAGGAAGCAAAGTTCATTTTTCATAGATTTCACAGTAATAGCTATACAGAAAAAATAAAGGAGCATAAATTGCATCGCAAAATCACTTCATCACAGGAGCCCTGGGTTTCTGAATCTGACAAACCAGGTATGCCATCTGATTCACAGACATGACATCTTTTTAAAAAGTAGAGTTCCCCAATTTCACTCAGCTCTTCACCAGCAGTGAGTGCATCTCCCCCATCACCATCTGACCCAAGAACAGCTTGCAGCAGAAAAATTGGCTCTTCTTTCCTCTTCTGTTCTCCCAAGAACAATCAATCTCCCAGTTTTTCCAGAGAAAGCTTAGAGGGAGAAAGAATGGATGGCTTTCCTTCCTTTTCCTTCCCTTTTTTCCCTCCCTGCATCACAATCCATAGGGTTCCTATTAGCATATGCCTGTACTCCCAGTTACTTCTGTGGTCTCAGTTCAAAAGCAGTGCAGGATGGTGCTTCAGGTGGATAGTCTCTCTATAAAGAAAATGGCTGGCTTCAGACATGTTAACCTTCGCTCAGTGATTGACAATGAGTTGAGTGTGGGTTGTCATTGAACTATAGGTTGTTCTCATGTTATCTGAACCCAAGTGTGTTAATAAACTATGGTTAATTAACCATAAACCATGGCCCACAAGCTTCTACAACAAGTCATGGTTTCCTTTCATAGCTTGTTCAGCGTGAACAGCCCATAATTTGTTAATGCAACTTGATTCAGACAGCACAATAACCCATGGTTTAACAACAAGTGGTACTCAACCCTTAATGGTGAGTTAGCTTGTCATCTGAAACCAGTTCAGGAAAAGAACACTAATGAGCCTTCATAACCCCTCATTCTAGAATTTGGTAGCAGCCTAGAATCTGAAGTAGCTCATCATTTGATCAAAATATTCATCTGGAAATTGCAGACCTGTTGGACATACTTCATAAATTGGACTCACTGGATTCCTTCTCCCTTGCTCTTGGGATTTTATAGACAACAGTGAGGTGCTGCCTGCACCTTTTGTAAAAGCGCATCACAAAAGTAAACACACCTGCATGCCTCAGGCCCAGCCAGGCCATGGTTCATCTAGCCAGTATTGTAACACTGACTGGCAGTGTCTCAGAGTTTCAGGCAGGAGCTTTGGGGACTGAACCTGGGGACTTCTGTATGCAAAGCAGATGTTTTGCTACTAATCTGTGCCACCCCCTGAGTAGTCTTTAAAAACTGCTAGAGAACTGCAGCACCCACAGCACACATGGGTGCTTCCAGGAGAGCAGGAAGCTAATGCCTCCCCCTTTGGAAGCAGCTGCAGAGTGAAAAGTGGAGGGTGCTGTGAACTGTCCCTTCGTCACTCACACTCAGGAGAATTGCATTGCTAAGGGGAGATATTGTCACTGCCCCCTTCTGGTGCTCCTGCCATTGCCACTTCCTTTTATGAGTGTTTATCCATCGATAGCAATGGTGTGCAAAGGAGCCTATAAGCTGCCTGGTCTTGCCTTCCCTTTGACAGCTGAAATTGACAGGGAGCTTAACCATGCAAGGTTGGATAAGCCGTACTTAGGAAAGACTCACAGACATAATACTAATTCTAAAAAGTGCAATTTTTAGCCTCTCCCCAAATGTGACCCCAATTGCCCTTTTTTGAGGCTCTGAAAAAAAATAAAATAAAACTGGCAGCTGGAATACCAGCTGGTTCACCAAGCAGGAGTCAAAGTCTGGGTGAGCATGCCTGGTCAGGCTAATCATGGCTTGTTCAGCAAACAACTAACCCAGCATGCCGTGGGAAGCACCCAGTACCATGAGTAGTGAGCCAGTTTTATCATCACTGCAGCAACACTGCTCCTCCAGCCCAGGTACATGTTTAACTTTTGTCCTACAGAAGTGAATAAACAGCATCTATTTGTAAGGTCATACTCTCAAGAGCACTACTGAGGTGTAGGTTCAACTCGTTCCCGGCTGTGTGTGAACCTGCCACTGAGAATCAAGCCCGCCCAGACCTTTGAGAGCTGCAAAATGACATCGGAAGGAATTTAGAAGAGGAATTCTGCCCTATTGACTGTGTTGAATTTAAGCAACTCAGATACAGGGCAGGGAAGAGAAACTTCTTTAAAATGTGTAACATGTTCTTGTTGCAGCAAGCTAGATGGCTTTGGAAAATCAGTGGAGATCTGCCAGCTGTTGTGTGTGCTCCCAAATTGTGAAGTGCTAAAGAAAAAGAAAAGAAAGAAAAGAAAGAGAGAGAGAGAGAAAGGAAACCAAGACTTAGCTTGGGAGAGTTGCCATCTTATTTACTTCAATTAACGTCAAACAGTTCTTAAGAAAATGCTCTTTGTTGTCCTTTTAGTTCTTTATCCAAATCCAGTTTTAGTTCCTGGAATATTCTGATCAAAATGCCCCTCCTCTTGTTTACTTTTACAGAATATACAAGGTGTATCTATTAACTGATTTGGTAATTGAAATGTTATTAACATTTAAAACTTCAATGTGTTTATGGAATCAGTTTCATAAATCTACTAAATATATTGCTGCTACAGTAGTTTCCTTCCTGGCATTAAATCAAAGGAGCTTGTCAGTGTTATGAAAAGTTCATCAGTTTTCAGTACAAAAGTAGGCAACTACAGATTTCCATCTTTAAGATTGATCCTGGAAGTTATGGTTGATCTCACTTTTATCAAACAATCCAAATGGTAGGTGAAGGGTTTTTTTACATTATCTCTTGGAATTGCCATCAAATGAAATGAAGGAAATCTGGAATTATAAACAAGACAAAGGATCACTGGAGTATATCAGGAAAGTTTTTGTTTCCCTGGACTTTAGAGAGTATATATGTCATGGGGTTCTCTGTGATGTTGTATAAAATTCTGATACAAGCATTCTGTGATATAAAGATTCTGTACCTCTTTTTGGGTTTTATGGTGATGTTTGGCAAAATTGATTTCAGTCCTATCATTTTTGAATACTATAAGTGCGGATTTGTGCTACTGTGTTGCTACCCTGTACAATAACCCATGACTAGAACAAATAAGGCTATTTAATTTGACGAGGTCCCAATGTTAATCTTTTTCCCATTAAAAAAATTATAATGACTGCACCTCTCTTCCTCTTTTCAATAGTTGATTCAAAGGGAAGATCTGGAAGATGATTTCTTGGATTGTACAGCAGAAGACCTTCTCCGTTTTGATGACTATAATAATGATGGCTACCTAACCCTGCAAGAACTCTACACTGCGTTCCGTAAGTGATGCCATCAATACATACATATTTATTTATATTTTTGAGGTTGGTCTGTTTCATTTGGCTGCGCCAGCAGCACGCAGTGGGATGAAGGCTTTGTAGGACAGGGATCACTGCTCTAGCAGGGAGGCTAAAAAAACCTCTTTGCTGCTTGAATCTTACAAATGCAGTCTTCCCCTGGCAGCGTTAATGCATGTGTGTTTCCTGTGCTATGGAGAATAACAGCAATTGTGTTGTTCATGGAAGGTGAGCACAAGCAGTAGAAGGAGCTGCAAATGTCTCCATCTTGGTTGCTTTAAGGATGAAAGAAGGCTAAGAGATCATGCAGGGAAAAGCTTACTTGTAGTCAGAGTCAGAATTATTCTGATTGCTAATGAGTAAAGGAATACTAAGCAATCATTCTAGACTGGGATTTCTCCTACAAATTGCATTTATTGTACTTTTATTTTTAATGTCAAAATATATGTTTTTTTTACCTTATAGGATGCAAAGCTTCTTCAAGAAGTAGATGTGTGGGGGGGGGCGGGGGAGGAACTTTCATTTTCCTCTATGAGTGCTTCTTCATGTGACATTTATTATGTACTTGCTATCCATGGTTGTTTATGGGTTCTAATTTTATCTTCTGTTTTTAAATAATAATTATGGCAAGTGTTTTGTCTAGAGTAGGGCAAATTAGATACTTTTCAGAAAGTGCTTTCTCCACATATATAGTTGTGCTATTCCAGTACAGCACAGTGCCTCCTAGAGATTATGTCGCAGAGAAGCAGAAAAGGAACCACTCTGTGTGGAGCTGAGATTAAACCAAAAGCCGATGCAGCAGGCTAACAGCCTTGTGTAGAAAAGTTCTTTGTTTTTGCAATGTAGAAAAGTATAATTTTTCTGATTGGGCTATGAACTTACTCCTACAGTGAAGATGTGGTAGTATCACTGGTATAAATGGTAAAAGAATATAAGGTGCCCTCCCACCCTAAATCAGCCATTGATGGAAAGTTGTAGAACAGAGATTAGTGGAGGTTTGCTTTAGTAATGGCTTTGATTGCTGAATTATTGGGATGTTTTATTGTTAGTGGAAGTATTATGAAGACCTCTACATATGTTATTCCTTGCTATCCACAAGAAACAGTCTAGCAGTAATAATATTTGTTTTCTTATGGAAATTTTATCCAGGGAATATTGATGACACACAGTTTGCTCTGACATCTCTTCCAGGATGCTTCACGGTGACCCTAGACCTGTTGGGGTCATTTGGGGTAGAAAAATGCCCAGGGAGGAAAGATTAAACACCTTGCTTAACTCCCATTCCCGAATTCCTTCTTCTGACATTCCTTCTCTTTTTCTTTTTAACAAACAAATGAAAAAGAAAAGCCTATCACTGGCAGAATTTAATTTCCTATATTACATTTCTATTTTTCCCAGTTGCCAAAACCCTCTGGGTAGTTTACAAAGATTAAAATCCTAAAAATACCTCTGTGCTATAGAAATCTATGCAAAATGTCTATTTAGGCACCATGAAATTGCTACAATATTGGTTTTCCATGTATGTATCCTAAATCACTTAGATATTAATGACTTATGCATACCATCAACCCACATCTGTTGAAATACCTTACATTGGCACAGTACAGTATTTGCTCTGTCATAGAGCAACATAACCCTGCTTTGCACACTCACTATTAGAAATGGCAAATGCAATTCTCTTGACCAGCTCTGGAATTCAAGAGAGATTCGCAGTCATGGATCCAGGCTTTTGAGGGCCTTGGGCAAGGCACTCTCAATGGACTTACCACCGAGTCTATCTTCTCACCACTATTGTCACCAACTGTTCTTGACCCTCTTCTTTCTCATCGTTGCTAATGCTTTCTTGCTCGATAGGCAGGGAGCCAATGAGCAAGCGGGCAGAGGACTCTTCTGCTCCTCTTTCTCACCATTTTCATTCTCTGGGCCAGAGCAAGAGATGGAGGAACAAGCAGGCTGCCAGGGTAAAGAGGAGGAACAACTCAGGGGGGTCTTGGTGGGCCCAGCTGAGATGTAGGTCCTTGGCAGATGCCCAGCCACCTCTCCCCTTGAAGCCAGCCTAGAGATAGAGGAGAACCATTATACAGATCGGGGAAAGAATGGATAGAACAAGTTCCAAAGCTGTCTGTCTATCTAAGGTTTTTGTATACCGTCCGACTACCACTATCTCGGGATGGTTTCAGATTTTCAGATTCAGACCCAGGTCCTCATTGACCTACCATCTTTCCTATCAGTCCCACTGTTTCACAAGCAAACTTTTGAAAAAATGAAAGCAAAACAAAAGTAAGGAGGGTCAGCAGTGATATACTGGGGCTGCCAAGCTTCATCCTAACCTCTGATTGCTCCTGAGAGTGCTCAAAAGCACCCACTGCTGCCAGCATTTATGAAAACCATAGTTTGCAAGGCTTCCCACATCAACTATTGCAGTCGTTATTCACCAGGTACCAAAATGTGCTAGTAAGCATGCCCAGGAGTGCCCAGATCTCAGTGCTTGTCACGCGATCTCTTCTGTTGCCAGTGGAGTTGCATCTCCAGTTGCATCTCCTTTTCTCCACCGTTGCAATCATGTTCACTTGGTAAGGGCCTTGGGTGAGCTCAATTTAAAGGCTGGCATGAGCCCTGCTTTTGAAGCTTTGTTGGATAACTCTTGGAAAGTCTCCCATGCTTTTCTGATAGATCTCTGAAAAAGCTGGGTTGGGGAGACAAGCTAATTATGGGGTGAGCTGGTGGAACTTACTCATTACTAATATAGATATTGCCTCATGGAAGCTAGGCTCTAGAGGATATTGTCAACACAAGCATTTCCAACAGGATTTTGAACTTACGAATAAATGCAATTTTCAGTCAGAAAATTCTATTTGATATAAAAATATAATCTCCTTTTAGAAGTTTTGAAGTCATAAGATATGGGCAATTACTTTCCCTCTGATGTTTAGAACTCAAGAAGAAAGTACATGTTTTATTTTTACACCAGGAATTATCTGGGAAGTGGCATTTTACTGCATGAATTCTCGCCTTTCCCATGTTTGTCACATGGAGACCATATTCTGGAATAGCACTTATCCTTCTTTTCTGATGACTTTTTACCTTCTTCAATGCAATAAAAATGAGTTCCTGTTTTTTGAATATCAATTTTTGTAGGAACATATACACATGCGCACATGAGTTTGGGGCGGGGATATAGAACTTGATCAGATTGGGTCTGTTTTGCTCTGTGGGTGCATTTAATTCATTGCATCCACCTGGAATAATAGATATGTAATAAAGCATAAAGCCTCATGTGTTAAGTAGGCTATAAAGTGGATTAACCTTGCCATAAAAACTTGACACGCAGTTACTGGGGAGCATATTTGGATCAATGGGTTTTCAAAGTCACATGAAATGTAAGTTAAAATCCAAGGGGCCTTTGAATGTATTTGTGGCTCATTGATTTTTAAATAGGCAATGAAATCTGAGACAGGAGCAACAAATTACAGAGTGACCTAAATTAGTGAGAAATGCTTAAAATTATAGGACACATAGAATTCTGTAGCCAATTCTCAAAGCATATCTCAGCATAACCCACGGGAGCTCTTTTTCAGAACTGTTTTCTTCCTCAGCCATTTAAATGGATATTTGTAATGTTGAGCCGCTGACCATCAAAATGACACAATGACATTTTTGTGTGCAACAGGGAAACAAATTGCAAATTGCAACCCGTCACAGTTTAAGAAAGGCTGAAAAGAGATTCTGGGGTAGTGATGGACAAGCTTCCGCATGCTTTCCTTTTTGACCCCCAGAGCCACTTTCCTCTTCCTTTCCATTCTATCCTACTGTAGACAGTCAGCCTCTTGGGGCAGGAAGTGGTCCTCTTTTACTCCATAAAGCGCTACGTATCCCGAGGATGCTATTTAACTAAAGACAAAAGAACCTTTAAAGCTTGGAAACCTGTGTGAATATTCTACCATTGTCCTTAGTATTTGTCTTAGTTGAAATTAGTTTTAAACGAGCACTTCTTCAAATGCATTTTTTGTCATTCTTGTGAGGATAAAAGAAAAAGAAATGCTGTTCAAATGGGTGTGTACTCCAGGCTTGGCTTACATGGCGGTGGAGGAGTTAAGAAGAGGTGGCTGACAGGTGCGCCTTCCTTCTTTCACCTTAAAAAGTGTTGTGGTAGCTCTTGAAGTGCTGCTGCAACAATGTCCTCATTTCATCCCTGCTCCGAGGGACTCGGGTCAGAGTGGTTTACCAAGGCACATGGGTGAAGCGTTCTTATTTTTTTAAAGCTGTAAAAACATTTCTCTTTCCAAACTGTCACAATATTCTCTGCTTCCTTCCTGCCACTTCTGACTTCCCGAGTGCATTTTGCAGCTGGAAGCGATAATGTGTAAGAAATTTGCTCCATCATTTTCTTTTTTTTGTACACTTCTATGCAATGCACTTCTCTCAGATATGAATGAAGGCCAGAACTTTGCAGCCAGGAATCTCTACATATCCAAGATTATGATGCATGCCACAAAGACAAAATTGTGTTCGACAACATATGCATATTCAAAAACTGTGCAAGGAAAATGGCATACATTTCTGTTTTTAATCTATTATTTCATTTATATCCTGCTTTTTTCCTACCAAGGAATCCAAGCAGCTTACATTTTCTTCCTCCTTCCCATTTCATCCTTACAACAACCCTGTAAGGCCTAGGGTAAGCTTTGCTTGAGAATCTCTCTTAAGCCCAAATTCACCCAGTAAGCTTCATGACTGAAAAGGTAATTAAACCTGGATTTCCATTCCAATATTCTGACCACTATTTAAAAAGTGCAGAACTGTGTGCTTTAATATGTACATTAAGAAATATATATAATGAAAAACATGTGCAGATTTCCCTACATTTAAAAAAAATATTGCAGGCTCATTTGGAAAAAGGATGGAATGATCCTGAACTCAAAAACCCACACAACAATCTTGGCAAAATTGATAGATCTGTTCATCCCTTTTAAAGATCACTG